AACCATAGAGGAAAAGAATGTGGCCTATTTCCCATTATGGGTTTTGTTTTCATTTACATCTGTGTATGTTTCCCAGTTTGGGGCCACCTGTCCCCAACAGCTGGAAGCAGGCGGTGTATTCAAGAGCTGTAAGCCAAAACACATAATTAACTTCTGATCCTCGGTACTGTTAGGGGTGGTTGCCGGCCATGGGAATCAGCCTTCCTCCACCTTCACACAGCTGTATGTTCTAAATCACTGGAGGGAAAAATGTTTCCTATTAAAATGCATCATGTGCTTAGATCATAAAGCTTGTCAACTCCTCACCCATCACTGTTCTCACAGCTTACAGGCCAGTGTCCGTGTAAAGTAGGCTATGGCGGGAGACAGTGCAGTGAGTGCATGGAAAATTATTATGGTGATCCCCAAAAGCGATGCATTCGTAAGTATCGGGAATTCTAAGCACATATGTGTAGACTCGGCCTGGCCCTACCACAGGCATGCTACAAACCAGCTGGATTTTAAATGTCTTTATTTTGTTGTTGCCGTTAACAATGTGGATTTAGAAAATTCGCCAAGTTTAATTCTAGTTATAAAAATACTATTTTTGTAGCCCTATACAAAGGTGATTTTTCTCCTATATTAAAACTTTTAGCCTGTACTAAATGTTAGCCCATATTAAAAATTTTAGTCTATATTGAAATTTGTAACCTCTGGTAAAATTCCTCAAAGTCATTACAATGGAACAGTCTACAGACGTGACTTGCAGCCAGTGTTTTGCTATATGGAAGCATATTGAGTAAAATGACTACCCCAGGCTGAGGTACAGGCTGGGAGATGGATCATAGGAAGCCAGAAAAGAGATGTTTCCTCAAAGTGGCTTTCAAGACTCTGGATCTGTCAAGTATTTCCTTATTTGCTTATTTAACAAGTATTCACAAAATCCCAACTGGGAACTCTGGACAGTGAACAAGCAAGATGAGGCCTGTGCTCTTGGAGTTTGTGTCCCCGTGCCTTTCATTCCATGTGTGACCACCAGTTGCAGGGTTTAGAGAGCTGTCTGATAGAACTTTCTACAGAGACAGAAATGTTCTGCCTCCTTGCTGTCCAACACAGGAGCCACTAGCCATACATAGGTAGCTATGGAGTACCTTGAAATGTGGTCATGCAACAAAGAACAGAATTATTTGTTTAATTCATGTAAGTGTAAATAACCACAAGTGGTTAGTGGCTACCATATTCGATAGCACAAATCTACAGCCTTAGTTCAAAGTGGCAGGATTTTATAATCTCCAAGCTTGGCTGGTGGGGTGCCTTAATGCTTCCCCCAGCAGGTTCCTGCTGATGCCTCTGGACCAAGGTTGGATGCGCCAGATGGGTGATACATAGTTGAGAAGCCTAGCATGTGCTGATCCATTCTTATTTGGAATGAGCGTGATTTTTACTCAGGTAGTCCAATGTATTTTCAAATCATTTGGTCCTTGCTGTTAGTCTGAAGACATAGGCTAATGATTCATTAACCTTTTGGCATCACAGTAACACCAGTAGATTGCTCCATCCTTCATCCTTGGAATTGATCAGAAACTTATTCAAAGTGCAGTGTGGCATAGGTTATTTTTTTTAATTAAGACAAAACGAATTCACTTTTCTTCCTGTTTTTGAGACTGAAACAGTTTTCATTATGTAACAGAAGACAGCATGGGTCTGCACACCCAGGCTGGATTTTACTCAGAAAAAAACATAATCAAGGAACTTCTCAGAGTCTGTGACATGCCTGAATCTCCACTAGGGGCAGCAGCACAGAGTTATTACTGTGCTGTCCACCATGAAATCCATGTTTCTTGCTCAAACAGATGAAGAACCCATATGTATACACTCACACTCATGCAATAGAAACATCTGATATTTCACATCTAGAAATAGATGGGATTAGTCAGTGGAATATAGACGTGCTGTATTTTAATGGCTATCACACAGATTTCTGAAATTATTGGTTTTAAATGTTCACCTTCAAAGTGTGAGTGAGGAACATTCTCAAGAGAGAGGAAAGAACTTTATTCTTGAGCCGTTCATCAGCAAAAGACCCAGTGACACTCTCTGTTCCTCTCTCTTCCTTTATAGCATGTGACTGCAACAGAGAAGGTGCCAAGAAGCCTGTGTGTGACCCAGACACAGGCATGTGTCACTGCCGGGAGGGAGTCAGCGGCCAGCAATGTGATCGCTGTGCCCAGGGTCACGGCCAGGAATTCCCTACTTGTCTTCGATGTCACTTGTGCTTTGATCAGTGGAACCAAGACATTTCTTCCCTCTCCGAAGCTGTGCAAGGGTTAATTAGGCTGGCTCATAACATGGAAGATAAAAGAGAGACCCCGGCTGTCTGTGAGGCTGACTTCAAAGGCCTCCGAGAGAACATGTCTGAAATAGAAAGGATTCTGAAACATCCTGTTTTCTCATCTGGGAAATTCTTAAAAGTCAAGGATTATCATGACTCTGTTAGGTAAGATTTGTGTTCAAGGAATAGAAAGCCAAACTTCAGATTTACCTTCACCTCTACTGACCTTTAACCTCCTCCACCTTCAATTTAGAAATGTACCTATGTTGATAGTTGTTCAGTTAATAACCAGGCTAGGAATCATGTTTGTCTGCCTTTTTTTTTTTTAACCTAGTTAGGATTACAGGTGATTTTTCTAAATGCCATTAATTATAATAAAAAGACAATCATGAAGAGATTAATTGGGAAACCCAAACCCAGCAGAGCTGTAAGATATGAAATTGGAAGCAAGTACTTTCAAAAACAAATAGTATGTTTTTTTCAATGATGTACTCAGGGAAAATTTGTCAAATCTTCCCAAATTCTTCAGTTGTTTAGTAGAAGTCCATGCATGAATGCGAAGTCCTAGAACAAGTATAGGAATTCTCCCAAAATGCAAGATCATTTTCATTACATATTACTAATCTTTTTTCATCTACCATCCATTTCTTGAAATTACATTGGTTGCTCTGGGCTACCAAACTATAGTCCGTGGGTCAAATCTGACACAATACCTGTTTTTGTAAAGTTTCATTGGAACATGACCACCAAACCTTGCTAAGTATAGATGTGTTCTAAATGAAGAACTGAGTTTACCCTAGGCTGGGTGAAGGGTTCTGTTTTATCATTTATTGAAAGCTGAATGTAGACCAGCTGTCTTAGATTAATTCAAACAAACCATGTCTGAATGCATGTTTGAAACCCCAAAACAAAGGAAGACAGAACATAAGCAGCTGAAACAGAAAGATTTGAAAACTTTTATCTACTAGACCTTGTATGCTGGTCATATTTTAAGTGAATATTGAAATATTCCAGGAAGCTAAATGAAGAGAAAAGAGATGTTAGCCGGGCGTTGTGGTGGGCACCTGTAGTCCCAGCTACTTGGGAGGCTGAGGCAGAAGAATCGCCTAAGCCCAGGAGTTGGAGGTTGCTGTGAGCTGTGACTCCACAGCACTCTACCAAAGGCAATAAAGTGAGACTCTGGCTCAAAAAAAAAAAAAAAAAAAAAAAAAAAGATGAGTCATAAATAGAATTATAAATTGTCAAATGAAAAATTAGAGGGTGGATGGGAATTGAGAATACCTTTTAATTGAGAATACCTAATAATGAGGGCATTTTTTGCAGCATGTTTTTTCTATCAACATCTCAAACATAATATAAACTTAACCATATTTACCCTCATTCTCTCTGATAGAAAACAAATGTTGCGGCTAAATGAACAATTCAAAGCAGTGTATGAATTTCAAGATCTGAAAGAAACAATAGTAAGAATGAAGAATGAGGCAGACCTCTTACTTAAAGACCTCCAGGAAGAGATTAATTTACAATCCGGTGTCCTTAATGCAAGCATCATGGGTAAGGGGAAAAAATGTACTTCAACTGTATTTGCACAAAGTTTGATGGAATCCATGGTGCATTCCATCAGTGAGTCATCCCAGGCTTACCACCATACTGCCTGTGCACTTCAGAGCATGCAGACACACCTAATAAGACTATTATTCCTTCATGGATATTTCAACTTTTTAAACATTGCAGGGCCTGGAGAGCATCTACTCAAAATAACAAGTAAAGCTAGCAATGTCTGATAGTAAACACATACCGACATCCAATATGCCAGACCCATGTGAGGGGTCCTGAGTAATCAACAACTTGGAAATTCTAATATGGCCACAAGTAAATGAAAGAGATATGTTTCTATGCCTGCCTGGGTATAAACTACTCTATTTCCAGTAACCATAAATGCAGAATTATACACAACATCTCTCGCAAGGACTTTTTATGAATTGGAGTCATGCAACGCACATTAGGCCCTTAGTTCTCATTGCATAGTTCTTAAAACTAAATGCAAGCCACGCCAATGGAACTCTAATGAAAAACTTTGATCGGCTTGTCTCCTGTTTAGGATGACATCCCTGTTATGTTTGGAAATAGACAACCTGTTCCAAAGAGGGAACACTGAGTTAATTCACACCTAGCCCATCTCCTTACTGAGAGGTAAAGGAAAAATACACATAAACCATGTCAAGACAGAAATACTGGCTGCTTTTCTCTACTCTATTTTTCATCTGGTCTTGACATAAGAAACAAAAAAACAATAGAAGGCAACTGGGTATGTGTATTTTTCCTTTACCTCTCGATTAGATGTTTAGGTGAGAATAAACTCAGAGTTGCCTCCCTTGGCAGGGACAGGTTATCCACTTCCAAATATTAGGAATACCTAATTGCCCTGAAGGAATGCTAAATAAATCCTAGCAAAGATCTATTGATGATGCTCAAAAATGCCATGGAAAGAGTAAACCATCTACGCTGATTCCTCACCTGGTAGAAAGTACCCACTGAACAAACTCGGGATCTATCAGAGGTTTCCCCACGCCAGGTAGAGTAAAGCAAAACTGCCCTATGCTTAATCCTCTCAAATTGGCCGTCCAACAGCCACTACTGAGCTTTTCACTGCCTGACATTGTGCTATAGCAACAGGGAGATAAATACAGCAAGCCCCTGCCCTTGAGTTATTCCAGTAAAATAGGGGAGATAAGCATATAAACAACCCCAAACAGCAGTAAGACTGTGGTAGAGCATATTTAAGAGCAGCAAGAACTGAGTTCTGCCTGGGTTTGTTAGGAAAGGCTTCGGGGAGTAGGTGGCAATTGAATAGGACTTACAGGATGGAGATAAATAAAGGCTGAAAGTTATTCAAAGCAACAGGAAGATTTTTTTATGGTAAATGAAAAACATGATATATTAAGAATACGGTAGTGTGCCAAACAGGGAAGTTTGAAAGATGAGGTGTTGTCGTCTCAGGCCTGAATTGCAGTAACTGCAGGGAATAAAGATCCAGCCCTAAGCCTCTGATTCCTAAAATATAGACGTCAAATTTAAAGGCCTAATACATGATAATTTACATCAGAGCAGAACATATTACTTTCATAAATTTGCATTTTAAAGCAAACAGGAAATGTAGAGGAGCGCTGGGCTCTAGAGTGAAACTGTGTGTGCTGAAATCCTGGCTTTATCTCTTACCATCCATGAGACCTCAGGCAAGTAACTGGCGTCCTCAGAGCCTCAGTTCTCCTTCTTGGTAAAATGAAGATGAGCATAGTAATGTGCATTTCATGGTGTTTTGTGGGGATTAAGGAGGAAAATTGAGGAGCAATGAAGGACAGGCCCATAGAAGCGCTCAGTTAGCTCCCGTTAGCGACTGCCAGCAGCCTCAGAAGTCAGCAACTGCAGGCTGAGGGCAAGTCCTGCCCACAACCTGTTTTTGTAAATGCTGTTAGAACATTGGAACACCACCTCGCATCTTCATCCCCATACCGTCTGTACTGCTTTCATCCCACCTGGCGGAGGTGAGTAGTTGCAACAAACGCTAGGTCCTAAAATATTAATTCTGTGGCCTTTGCAGAAGTTTATAAACTGGTGCTCTCAAGAGTTAAGTGATTTTAGGTGGTTGATCGTATTTTAGACAAGTATTCATAATGAATACCTTAGATTTGTGAAACATTTCTCAGACTATTTTCAGATTATCTCAATTCTCTTGTATTATTACCAATTTACAGATGAAGAAACAAAATCTAGATTAACTAATTTGCTCAAGGACATCCTCAGGTGGTAAAAGGTGAAGCCAGGAGCCACCGCATGTCCGTGGACCGAACTCCCAGTGCCCTGTATCTGTTAGATGCACATCTGTTATACCACCCCTAATCCTTCTCCATTACATGCAATTCAAGGAAGAAGATACTGAAATTGTGTGGTGATCACTAAGACCAAGGCAGAAGCCAAACTGCAAAATGGTTTCCTTGATTGTTAATATATAATTTCGTTTTTACCTCAATTTGTGTTGATGTAGACTCCTCAGAAAACATCAAGAAGTATTATCACATATCATCATCTGCTGAAAAGAAAACCAATGAGACTAGTTTCATCCTAAATAACTCTGAAAATACCAGGAATGACTCACTTACTATCTTAGATACACTAACCTTAAAAGGAAACTTGTCATTGGAAAAATTAAAGCAAATTAAGATACCAGAGATCCAGATATTAAATGAAAAGGTAAATATTCGTGATGTTTTAATAAAAGAGTTTTTGGTTTCTACTTAGTATACAGACTTTTCGACTGTATATCCCTATCTTACATTTTTTATATATTTTATATTTATATAAGTATATAAATGACAAATATATGTCTGTACATATAAATGTATGCAGTGTATATATTCTGTTATATACTATGTAATTAATACTGTTTTTATTTCTTAAGCTTTGATCATAATCAAAGAGGAAGAGTGTAGTTTGATTTGGTTATATTATTGACCATTTCCTAAATGGTACAGATTATGGACATTTCCTCCTCTCCGCCTCATTATAAGTTAAAGGCAATTCTATTACAAAAGAATGAAATAAAATTTACATGGAAATCCTAAATATTTAGCTATTTTCCAAAAGAACTAGCAAAAATCTGTAAATATATTCTTTGTACCCTCAATGATTCCCCAATAATAAAAAAATCTATAAATATAAACATGAGATGTGATAGGAATAATGAGGTCAGAAACAAAAATAAGAAAGGAAGGAAGGGAGGGAGGGAGGAAAGAAGAAAAAGAGACACATTGGTACAATAATGAGAAAAATTAGATATTTGTTACCTAGAAAACATCTGATAGATCATCCCCATGTACCAAGCAGGAACACATATAAATAAAGCAGTGTTCTAATGCCTGGGTAGTATTAGAAACAAATGTGCCCACAAATTGCTCTTTAACATAAATCATTTCTCCTATAAGGAATGTGGAGATCCAGGGAACTTGCGGTGCACTCTCTCAGCCTGTGGTAGCGCCCTCTGCACGGCCCCTGAGGGGCACAGGCCCTGTGATGTTCCCAGCTGCCCGGGCTTCCTGGGCCTCTCAGGGGATGCTCTCCAAAAGGCCCAGGAAGCAGAAAATGTGACTCATAATTTGAACAGCCAGGTTCATGGGTTGAAGAATCAAGTACATATCTTCTCTTGCCTTATTTATAAAGTTATAGCAATAAAGAAATGAGGAAATTTATAAAACTGCCATTTACCCTGACAGATTCTAGATACTAGGTGTTCTTATGCCTGGATATACCAGATAAAATATAAATATTAAGTGTAGATTTAGAAATAGATTTAGAATAGTTGTGTGTACACTATATATGTATACAGTTGACCCTGGTACAACATGGGGGCCAGGGGTACCAACCCCCCTACACACACAGTCAAAAATTCTTATGCAGATTTAGACTCCCCAAAACATAACTACTGTTGACTAGAAGCCTTACCAATAACTGAAAGTCAATCAATACCTATTTTGCATGTTATATGTATTATATACACTAATCTTACCATAAAGTAAGACAGAGAAGAGAAAATGTTACTAAGAAAATCATGAGGAAGAGAAAATATATTCACTATTCACTTTATGGACATGAATCATCATAAAGGTCTTCATCGTCATCGTCTTCACATTGAGTAAGCTGAGGAGGAGGGGGACAAAAAGGGGTTTGTATTGGTGTCTCAGGGGAGGCAGAGACAGCAAGACAGAGGGGCAGAAGGGAGGCGGAGGAGGCAGGCACTTGGTGTAACTTTTATTGAAAAACATCCACATAAAAGTAGACCTGTGCAGGGCAAACCCGTGTGTGTGTGTGTGTGTGTGTGTGTGTGTGTGTGTGTGTGTGTGAAGAGAGAGAGAAAGAGAACAGCGAGAACTCACAGTACATTATTGTAGGTCATACATTTGTGTGGACATGTTTTTTCTACAGTAAGCACTACATAGAAATGTCAAGACACCTGGCCTTAGGCTTGGCACCTGTGGCTCAAGTGGCTAAGGTACCAGCCACATACACCTAAGGTGGCGGCCTCGAATCCAGCCCGGGCCCCCAAAAAAAAAAGAACGCCGCCAACCAAAAATAGCCAGGCATTGTGGCGGGCGCCTGTGGTCCCAGCTACTTGGGAGGTGGAGGCAGGAGACTTGCTTGAGCCCAGGAGTTGGAGGTTGCTGTGAGCTGTGATGCCATAGCACTCTACCCAGGGGGATAGCTTGAGGCTCTGTCTCAAAAAAAAAAAAAGACACCTGGCCTTAAAGGTTTGAAAACTACAGATCTCTCAAAGCAAAAAATAATTTTTCATAAATTCAAGGTATATTTGAAATTCTAAATGTGCAAGTTGTAAGATTAGAATTTAGTGTTAGAAAATAGTTTAGCAAGAATATTATATATATATAATATATATATACACACACAGAACTTTATGCTATGAATTCCTTCCTATGTGGATAGACATGATAAAGTTGTTTTAACATTTAACTACCTTAGCACCTGTAGTCCCAGGTCCCTGGGAGGCTGAGGCAAGAGAATCATTTGAGCCCAAGTTTGAGGTTGCTGTGAGCTACGATGCAATGGCACTCTACTGAGGGTGACACAGTGAGACTCTGCCTCAAAAAACAAACAAAAAAACCATTTAACTACCTTATAATTTAATCTAAAAAATTTGAAGTGACTTCATTTACTCTCTTGGTCATTTATAAATGAATGCCATTTTTAAGTATCAAGTTTTCTTTGGGTGTTTTTTGAGAATGCATTGTAGTCTTTGAGTTTGAAAACAAGATAATGACATGCCCTCCAATCTGTTCCTTTTTTGACAATACATATAGAGCCTCTGACAAAGAAGAAAAAGCTATTGAAGGACTGAATTTTTTACCAATGTATGTTGAATATTATGTCAGGATTCTTGTTTACAAGCAATAAAAGCCAACTCCTGAGCAAAAAGGAAATATACGTAAGGACATCTGGGTCTCAGGATCAAGAGAAGTGGAGAGGGTCATGCTTGGGAATGAGTGGAGCCATAACTGAGATACACACGCACACGCACACACACTTGCTGTGTCCTTGTCCACTGGCTACAGAGTCCAAATTCTGGAGCAAGCATCTGATTAGCCAAGCCGGAGAATATCCCTATACATATCAAATACTGAAAATGGCTCACATGGGCACAATTCCATTTTGCTGCATCATCTTTCACTTATATGTGATCCTCCATTGCTTTAACAATATTCACTGAGTACCTACTATGGGCCAGGCATTGATCTGGTTGAAACTACAGCAATGAACATAACCAATGCAAATCCTGGTCTTACATCCCAGGGATTAAAACAGTCCTTAAATGTTTAATGTAATTTTAAACTACTAGTTTGTCTCTTCTCAAAAAAGAAAAAACTCACCCCATTTATTAAGTTCCGATTACCACTTGATTAAACTGTTAAATTAATAATAGCATTAAGTTATCAGTCTTAAAAGATAACCCCTGAAGTCTGTATTAGCAGACTCTGGTTTAATCAGCACATCAGTGGAGCAGTGGAAAAGGATGAGGGGGGTTGTCATGTTGATAAAATGGTGTGCTAGTTCCCTCTTGATGAGGAGGGGAAGAGTGCCAGAAGAGATTGGGAGGGAATTCTCGGGAGTCAGTCATGACAGAAGACAGATTGCAGAGAGATGTTTTAAGAGTGAAGTAATTTAGCAATCCCTTTCTTTCTCAACATGGTATCAGCGAGTCTAACCGAGATTTCATCCATATCACTTGGTGCTTTCCTGCCTAATGTATTTATTTCTGGAAATCTCATTTTATTGCTATCCATTTTCTCCTACTGCTATCCATTTTAAAGTTAAGAAAGTTCTAGAGAATTAAGGATCAACTCAAAAAAATTAAGATACACACTTCTAATCATGTAAATACTCCTTTTTTGTTTTATCATTTGCCAAATGACTATAATTTAAATCCTTTTCCACAAAATCTGTATGGCTCAAATTAAGCAAACTCCTTTTGTGGGGAAATAAATGGAGTTTTTTTTTTTTCTAATTATGTTTGATCCTAATTAGCCCTACTTCTGTCACAATTAATTTAGTCGATAAAGCTCAGCTTGTTGGCAATATTGTCCTATTGCCTTCTGGGTTTTTCTTCTCTTTCTCTAGTTTGTTGGAATCCCAAGAAAAAGTCCATGACCTTTCTCAGTCACACAATGAGGAATTTGCACTTGTAGTTTGCAAGCCTGTTAGTCCTATCATTCCTTCACCAAGTGTACAAAGTGTTTAGAATATATCTTTGTAGCCCCCTCTCAGTTCAAGTTCATTTATTAAGAGGAGGAATGCTTTCTTGCTAGCTCTCAAAGAAAAGTACATTACTTGAATTTGAGGAATTTTTTTAAGAGTAACTATTTTAACTTATAGAAAAGAAAATGCTCTCAAGCCATTAAACATAATGACCAGTGCAGACAAGTAGTCCTAGTAATTCCTATACAAGTTTTTGATATCATAGAATGCTAAAGACTTGCATTTTACACTTATATCAGAAAAATTCATTAGTAGGTCAATATTGTTTTCAAATAATTTTGATCACTAACAATGTTCTGAAAGATAAATTCATGCTATTAAGAAAACATGATGGCTTGGCGCCTGTGGTTCAAGCGGCTAAGGTGCCAGCTACATACACTTAAGGTGGTGGGTTGGAATCCAGCCCTGGCCCACCAAACAACAATGATGGCTGCAACCAAAAAAATAGCCGGGTATTGTGGCAGGCGCCTGTGGTCCCAGCTGTGCTCCCCCCTTGGGAGGCTGAGGCAGGAGACTTACTTGGGCCCAGGAGTTGGAGGTTGCTGTGAGCTGTGATGCCATGGCACTCTACCCAGGGGG